GTGAACTGGGAGCCCTGGGATGTAAGGATGTGCTACCTGTTGCGGGTGTACCTGGGAAGCACTTCTGTGCTCCAGTGTGGGAGGGACTGGGGGAAGGAAACTTTCAGGGCATGTGGTCGTGGAGGGTTGGGGTGAAGAACAGAACCTACAGGTGAATAATGCACCAGCCCTGAAGTGTTTTATCCTGCCATACAGGAAACCTTTTAAAGGTGTAAAAACCTGAATTTCAGCTCTGTATGCTCTTAGTGAAGGGCTCATCATCCGTCTGTAGGTGACCTTGGCATTTTTGGTGGGGATCCCCAGGACAGCACGCCCTGCCCTGTCGCCTGCTGAGCAGTACTGGGTGATTTTCACCCAGACTTCTTCAATATTTTTTTTTCCTCTCGTGTGTCTTTGCCAGATGCTCCTTTGGGATTCTCCTCTTGTAGTTGCATTGGATCCCCAGGTGGGGAAGGGAACCCGGTGATCAGCTGCCTTCAGTGCTGAAAAGGACTGTAATGTAAAAACTGCTGCACGTCACTGATTGTGAGCAGGGTTTGTGAGGGTTTGTGTTTTACTGAAACTGTGTCCTGGGTACCAAAAATGCCTCTCTCTCGTTTCCTTCCAGGAACTTTATATTGCCGTGGGAATATCTGGAGCAATCCAACACTTGGCTGGAATGAAAGACAGCAAGGTAAATAAAGGTGGATGTGCTAGAAGAGATTTTTGAGGAAGGAAATGACTTCCTTGCTGTTGCATCAGCGCTTTGCGTGGTTTTCCAACTTTTTTTAAATGTTAAAATTGCCAATTTCTCTGCTGTTTTAAAACACACTCTGACAAAAAATAATGTGGCAAAACATCTCACACCTTTGCACTACAACCCAAAGTGATAAGTAGACGCAGCTAATTGAATTTGTTTAAAAAAAAACCCTAACCCAAACCATGTATGCCTGAATTCTATACAATAGTTCCATTTGCCTTTATTCCAGAGTATGACATATTAATTCATGCATAACAATGTGCAATTTGAATTATGAACTTACTATTCCATAAAGTAAAAGATGTCTCTGACATTCCTGCATTTAGCCATTCAAATGGAAACCTTTTATAAAATGGCAGTAAAACTTTAAAAGGTTTAACTCATTAGTTGCCAAAGCAAATAATCCAAAATTGGAATTGCCAGTTTGGTCTCCAGTGCAGTGTTTGGAAAGAGGAGCAGAGTTACCTGCTGATTTATACTATCCAGTGTCAGACATCAGAAACTGGAGGATGTCCTGCATCCCCACAGGAATTTTAAAAAGAGGTTATGGACTTTTTTTTTTTCTATTTCCAGTGAATGAAATTAGTCAATAACTTTGATCAGCTTATAAAGCTGAGGAAAAGGGTTGCAAAACTTTGCAGGTAGTTCCTTGTGTTCGACCAGTGACAGACCAGTGAGTTTGTGATGGATGACTGTCCTCACAAACCAGCCTGTGGGTAGGATGATCTCTGCTTTCCTAAAATTTTTTTCCCCCATGTATTACTGAAATATTTGGGGGGGGGGAAAGTCAAGTGAGCTGCGTCTGGGGCCTCAGCCTTCTGGAAGCAGAGACTCAGGTGGTGTTTGCTTTAGGTTACAGTGGAGGCAAAAGAACCAAACTTTGAGATGTAAGGGTGGATGCAGGGCAGGGATGAGGAGGGTGGGTGAGAGTGTCTGTGCCTGTCTCTGGTCTCAGCAGAGCAGTGCTGTTGTGGAGTCTCCTGCTGGCACTGTGGGAACTGGGTACTTAAAGCTGCTTCAGACTTGATCTGACCCTGTTTGTGTTCATCTCCTGCCTTCTCTCAGTTAAGGCTGCCAGCAACACTGGGAACTTCTTACTCGATGTGCCAGAATTTCCTTTGATATAATATTGAGCAGTTATATTGTCCTGAACTGCAACAGCAAAATCAGAATTTTTTGGCTTTTCCAATGCCATGTTTGATATTTTGAGATGTTTTCTTATGGGAAATAAGAACAGATTAAATTTGCCAATGTGAGATGCATACTTAACACTTCCATTTCTCCCATCTCTCATAAACAAATGTGTGTGTTGTAAAAGTCAGGTTTAATTACTTGTGTTTGGAATGCATTCTGCCTTCCTTTTAAGCTGAAGGATATAGATGGGGTAGTTATGGAAAAGATCCAGTTTTCACAAACAAAGCATTATGCAGCCTGGGAGCTCTGGAGTGTCCCCCATCCTCCCTCAGCACTCTGAATTATCTGGCATTGTGTACTTGTACACTTCAGGATACGTCTTCCAAAGCAGTCAGATGCTTTCTACCAAGTGAAATGTATAATTTATTTGTTCTTTACAGCAAGGTAGAAAATGCAGCTTTTGAGGAGACCTGGAGAATCGTTGGTGCTTTCTCTCCTTGTTTCCAATTCCCTCAGGAGACAGTTCCTGTATCTGTTCTTTCTGAGAGATTTAACTCACAAAGTTCTGTTGTGAGCAAGGTGATGCTCTTGCTGCTTAAAGTCTGAGTGAGCAACGAGGTAGGGAAGCAGATCTTACTAAAAAGTGACTTCAGCTAAAGGAGGCAGAGGATGGCTCAGGATGCCCAGCTAAAGCTTCAGTAGGTTTACAAGCCGTGGGTGTTGTGCCACGAGCAGAGCTGGCAGCTCCGGGGGTGGCACTGACTGCTGACCTCGGGCAGCCCTCAGCACTGACCCCGGGGATGGTTCTGCCAGACATGGCAGGGCCTCAGCAGGGGCAGAGAAAAGTCTTTACCGACAATACCCTCGGGGATCACAGCCTGGATTTGTTTCCTGCACTGCAGCTTGTCAGGGGACATTTGCATTTGCAAAGGGTCACTGAAATAAAAACGATAAAGCTTTGGGAGGAACAGTTCAGGGCAGTGTTGCTGCAGTAGCTGCAGGGCCTTGGCTGGGAGCTGGGCAGGGGGCTGTGGGCACCGCCTGCTGCCATGTGGGATCCTTACAGGGAACAACCAACCTGTGAAGAAACAACAGTTCTGTGGGCCTGGAATCTCAGAATTTGTAACCTTCTGAGTTCCTGCCAGTGCACCTCTGCTGCTGAGCCAGTGATTTTGCTGGACAAGCACTTTGAGTGGAGGAGTAAAACAGTGACAGGTGAAGTTCTGCTCCCTGGGCGTGGCCTGGGAATGCCCCAGGTGGGCAGGCAGGACTGGAGCGCTGTGCTTTGGGCCCTGCCTTGGTGTGAGGCTCCTTCTGTGAGCTGCTGGGTTTGGTTCAAGATCCTTTTCCCTTCCTTTATGAAGTGCTCCCCATCCTGTTATAGACTTCGATGTGGACACCCACCATGCTTATTTTGCTGAAAGCTGTCACAGACAGTTACAGGATGGCAGGGTTTAAACCAAGACATTTTCTGGATCACTGTGCTGGGATTTGTCAGGTGCCATTTCCTGTGGTCTGACAAACTAACTGCTCTGTCCCATAGTAAGTACAGAACCTTTGGGCAGGGCTTTATTGTGCTTGTTGCAACTGCTGCCCTCTGAGTTAGTTCTGCAATGGCTTAGAATGTGCAGATAATCCTTTGTAGTATTTTTTTCTAGGCTTTTCAATAGGGAAGGAGAACCAAGATGTATGTGATGAACAGGGAAGGGAGGGGTTTTTTTTTGGGGGGGGCTGGGGTGTTGTGGTGGGGTCTTTGTTTTTGAGATGGAAAGGGAAAATGTTAAATGCTCTGATCCATGTCTTCTGCTTTGGGGGCTTGGAAAGATTAAAGCCCGTGTTTCCTGGATAAGACCTGGCACTGTAATCCAGCCCCAGATGTTAATCAATATATAGATTCATATGGTGCTTTACCTTTGCTTGCAGACCATTGTTGCGATTAACAAGGATCCAGAAGCTCCAATTTTCCAAGTGGCAGATTATGGACTTGTGGCAGACTTATTTCAGGTGAGGCAAACTTGCTGAGCAGGATGGCTTTGGGAGAGTGGGCAGTAGGTTACATAATATAACCTAATGAGTGTTAACGATGTCTGTGTGAGTGTGTTTGCTTTGGGTTGCTCTTAAAGAATTTGTTTTCTAAATTTGTTATTTGCACACTCAAAATTCAACCCCTGCAAGTAGAAGCAAGTGTGTTGGGGGGCAGGGGTGTCAGCCTGCCTTGATTCTGGTTTCCTGAATATGAACCATTTTTGGAAACAACTGCACAGAGGCGCTTGCCGCTGGTTTTAAGCTCCATAATGTTTGGAAGCAGAGAGTTGGCAGGAGAGTGCTTATTCCTGCCTGGGCTTGCTGCCTCACTGACTGATGCCCAGGAGGAACTGCAGTTCCCTCTGGAACATGGAGCCACGAGCCAGCCCCTGCCCAAGTGCCCGCAGCTCCCATGTGTGCCTGTCCGTGTGTGCGGCCACACGTGTGACTGGCGGGGCACGGGAGAAGCTGTGCCAGCACTTAATGCCATTCCTGAAATGCTGCCCGCTGGCTCCACGGCGAGCACAGGCCTCTTTGTGAGCCACAGACAAAGTCACATTCTGAAGAAACACCATGTAGACAATTTCCTTAATAAATTTTGTACGAATGCATTATTTCCACCTAATGGAAATGTAGCTCTCTTAAATAATTAAGAGGCTTTATTCAGCAGGAGAGAAGTGGGGAGTGCTGTGAGCTGGGGTGACCCACAGCCCCTGGAGTGGTGTGGTGGGTGGGGAGCGTAACTGCAGGGTTTGGTACTGCACAGGGTGAGTCTGAGGGGGTCAGAGGGGGAAGATGCACTACCCTGGCACTGGTGTTTGCAGGCGGTGCCAGAGATGACGGAGCTCCTGAAGAAGAAATGAGTGCTGGTGATGGACCCTGCTCTGTGGAGTAAGGACAAATAAAGGATTGTACTGGAAAGAGGTGGGGTCACTGGTGTTGGGGTTTTGTGGGGGTTTTTTTTTGGTTTTTTTTTTTTTTGGTGGTCAGTTGGATGGCACGTGGAGTGGTGGGTGGAAGAAAGGAAAACAGGGAAGGCAGGTAAGAGAATGAAGGAAGAATGGAAAAGGAATGGAAGACGGATACAAGGCAGGAGGCAGCATGGCTTTGTCAGTATTTATTCCCATCTCCACCCCCCTCCCAGCTCAGCCTGGGTAGGGTCAGCTGGGGGGCCAGGCTGGGCCCAAGCTGTCCAGCAGCTCTGTCCTGCCCTCGGGCGCTGTGGGGCTGTGCTGGCCCTGGACTGGTGGAAGTTCCGGGGTGTTCCCAGGCACAGTCTGTCCCCACCAGGCACTGTGGGTCCATGTGGGCCCGAGTCTGCTGGAAGGTCCTTTGTACCCAGACAGTCACCGTAGGTCCCAGTTGGCCCAGAGCTGGTGGCAGGGCAGGTGGGTCATGCCCCACAGACAGTGGCCTCGCCCTGATGGCCATTGCAGGAGATGCCACAGGTTGCCTTCAGCGCTGCCGCGTCACCCGAGGCTGCTCGTGACCCAGTGCGGTGACCCAGCGCGGTGAGCGTGTCCTCGCACGAGTCCCCATTGCCCAGGCTGTCCCTATGCCTCAGGAACCCTGCCCAGCCGTGGCTCTGGGGGCCCCAGCGCTCCGTATTTCTCCTCAATCATCGGGGCACCCGGTGGGCAGTCGATGAGTGGCTTGAGCTGGAAGACGTCGAGGCTCTCCTGGTTCCTGCGGTTGTAGACGCTGAGCCGGTGGCCCAGGTCAGGGCTGGCCCCCACCGAGCCCGCGGGGCTGGGCAGCTTCAGGTTGACGGGATCCAGCCCCTTCTGCGCCAGACAGGCCTCTTCCGACAGGGACGAGAGCAGCTCCTGCACCACGGCGTGGGGCACCCGCTGCCGGGCGGGCGCCGGGGCCGCCTGGGCGGGCTCCTCGCAGGCCGTGCTGCAGTCCGGGGAGGAGCCCAGCGTGTGGCTGCTCTCGCTGCAGGCCTGGGTGCCCGAGCTGACGGTGGAGCGCGAGGCGCTGCCCGACGTGATGCTGGCCGAGGTGCCGGTGCTGCCCAGGCGCAGCGGCACCTCCACCGTGAACAGCTCCGAGGAGATGTTGGGCCGGTGCACGTCGATGGCGGCCGTGGTGACCACGCAGATGGCGGCCTCAGGGACACCGCTGTCTGCAGGGAACAGAGCACACACACGCTCAGCACGAGGGCAGGACATGCACAGGTAGTGCCTACAGAGCTGGGTATATACCTGTAATACACTACACCTAGAGCTGTGTGCACAAAGGCACGGGCGACACACACTATAGCACACAGTCCCCCTTTAATACACAGAACTGCCTGTCGGGCTCAAAGGGAACAGTAACACAAACACACCCCTTTTCTACACAAAATGCCTCTCTATATGTTTGTATATAGGGGGAACAGATGCAGAGGGCTACACAGCTACAACCAATACTGTATACCTATATATATATATATATGTGTGTGTGGATGTGTATACTGTCACATACAAACACCTCCAGGTTTATTCACGTAGTTAGATAAAGGGTATGTACAGATGTATAAGGAACTGCATCTATAATCCATTCTACTTCCATATGTGCAGTCAGTCAATAGATACCTATAGGCCATAGTCCCGCCCTTTAAATACTTGTAATTAGCTACTGTTAAAACAGAATGCAAACACACCCACACTCCTCTCGTCTTTATACGAGTGTGTGTATCTACAGGGATATACACACATGTACACACATTATACCTATACATGAACACTCCCCGCTATATGCAGACAGTTTTTAATTTTGTATGCACACATATAGATACATAAAAGATGTATCTCCTTATTTATATTGGAATATACATGTATTTCTCTGTATTTTTGGGATAGATATATAGGCAGCAGATCACACCTATGCATCAACACACCCCCTGCTACATTTATACAGCTGTTCATACACACAGGTATAGACAGTCTTTATATCCAGTACCTTCTGTACTGGGGATGAACACAGATAGCTCTATAATAGATACAGCTCTATAAGTAATGCCATATACTGACCTACCCCCTCTCTATATATATATCTGCATGTTTTCTGCAATATATACACAATAGAATTACAGATTTACCTGTAAAGAGACCCATATACAGCACAGTATACATACATATGGCACAGGCTATATAATGTAGGGCCCCCCCCTTAAATACATTTAATTGTAAATAGAACACACGTGCTCTCACACTTACCTTTATGTATAAACACATGCATTTCTCACTGTGTGTGTGTGTACAGCTGGGGAATGTATGTATACATACAGGTAATAACTGTACCTATACATGAATACCCCCTCTTTACAGACTTTTTACATATATATAAAATAAATTTTGTATACCTACATACACATGTACCTTTTTATAGCTTTCCAAGTGTATTATGGGGATGTATCTAGAGGGACATACATCTCTATATAACACCACACACCTCTCTAGACACTGTGTGTGCACATACATGTAATAGGTGTACATACACAGTCTCTTGCCCACCTTATTTTATAGACACATAATCTTTAGATATAGATGTAACCATAAAGATGTGGGAAGAGCTGTTGCTGTGTGTATACAACAACCTAAAGTAATACATTAGACCTATACATAAATATGTACAGATAGTTTTTAGACATATTTTTATATATATATACATACATACATACACATATAGTACATAGTTGTTGTCCTCCCCCTTTGGAAACATAATTATCATTCTTTAAATAGAATATATTCACTTACACACATATAGACTTACCTTTGTGTATAAATATTTGCATATTATGGTGTGTATATGTAAATCTGGAATGTATATACATGGATATATAAAAAATGTATATACATGTATATATATATATAAAATGCATATCAAATAATATATGAGATACTTATTATAAATAACACATTATATCTATACATGACAACTCTAACCTTTATCCATATTTTAAATTTTAAATATATATATATATATACATTTTATAGATAGCCAAGTTTACTATGGGGATGTATATACAGCAATATGCAGTATATAATACATATAATATATACCTATAAACGTGTGCACGTATGTGTACATATGGATGTTTGATAGATATAATACTCCCTTTAAATACATAAAATTTTCTGTCTTTAACTAGAATACACCCCCCCCCATTTATATTTATGGAGAAATATATGTATGTGTGTGTGTACATAGGGAATGCATATATAGGAATCTACATATATAATACATTAAGCACAGCCACATCCATATTACACAACACCTGTTAGACATATTATATGTACACTCCCTCCTATGAATGCCTCTCCATGTA